GGAGCAGGGCATTTGGCTCCAACAGGAGTCTGGGCAGCGGTGGCTGGGCAGTGGGAGTGGGCATCTAGGGACTGAGAGGACAGAGTACAGAGGAAGGCATGGCACCAGGTGTCTTACTTGGTGATCCAGCAGGATACTGGTCCTTTTGTGCATCCTTTGCTCCACTCTGGTTCTCATGACGATCTGGTCCACCTCTGGGACCTGCACGTGGCTCCTCAGGAGAGGCTGGTGCCAGACACAGAAGGGAGCTCGCTCAGAGCCCATCTACACCTGCTGTGTGTATTCTATTGCTCGGTCAGTACCTTCCTTCATGGTAACACTGACAAGAGTGTCTGCCCCTTTTGATGAGACAGCTGTTTTTTCTCTGACTCATGGAGCGGGTATGTAGGACACAGGAGTGGGGCTGTCTGGGCTAAAATCAGTCAAACATGTTTGCCATTTATTGCTAATTTAAAAGCAAGTGTGTCCCGAGGACAGACTCAGTTTTACGGTTAAGACCGTCAAAGACAGTAGTTTCCTTAACAGAACATTGTGTATCTTGAATTTATAAATTCATATATATGATTTGTGCATGTCTGTGTTGTAAAATAGATATTTAATAGTGGCAAAATTTGGAGCAAGTTTTGCACAGAGCATCTGTCTCCTGTGGCTACTGTCTCCTTGCCCTGTTGGGAAGCTTGCAGGGACCCTCACCCACTGGAGGTTCCTGTTTCTCTAACAGACTTCATTCATTCTCCCTTATGCCACACAGCTGCATCTTGTATAAGATATCTGTTGTGGCCATAACCCATGCCTGTAGATTCGGTGGCTTAAGCAACATGGGTTTTCTTTAGGTTCCGTAGGGCTTAGAAGTTCAACTCTGGACTCACCTGAGATGAACACCATGTTGGCAGGGCTGCATCCCATTCTGCAGGCTCTGCAGAGGCCTTGTCTTCCTTGCTCGTTCACTTCGCTGGGGGAATTTCATTCCCTGAGGTCGTGAGGCCGAGGCTCCGGTGTCCCTGCTCACTGTCAGCGGGGCTACCTTGGCTCCTGGAAGCTGCGCTCAGCCCCTGCACACAATCCTGACCTTGCCGTGCCATCTCCCTCAACCTCTCCTCCACCTTCCTCTTCCACTTTTGAGGCTTCATGTGTTTCAGTTGGGTCAATGAGGTAATCTCCCTATCAGATCTGAAAAGCTTCTTTGCCATCCGTAAGGATATATTCACAGATATTGGAAATGACTATTCATGGGGACCATCATCTAGCCCAAAGCATTGTCCCTAACACCTTGGCCTGTAGGTACCTAGTGTGAATCAATGATATGACCTACCCCAAGGCCTAAGCTGGGGCTTGCATTTTCATCACATCTGTGGTCACTCTTACATCCACGCTTAATCTCATGTTGTCCTAAGCAGGACCGAAAGGTCCTGTCAGGTGCCCTGGCATCTTGGGTTGCAAGAACCTTTTCCTATCACCTCTGTCTTTCTTTTTCACCCAATAAAGGAGAAGCTGGAATTTAAAACACTGAAATCAACTTTCATGGGATGTCCAAAGCTGAGTTTATCTGAATGTGGAGAACAGAAGACTTCCTCAGACTTTTCTGTATAACAGCATCTGTATGAGCTAATTGATAACAAGAGGTCATGAGTGCTAAGCATAAAGGTGCACCACTCGTGCTCAATTAGCATCTTTTCTGCTATGTGTTCTCTCGGCCCCACCCAGTTTGGACTCAACTGTGAACCTGACCACAACTATATTGTTTCTTCTGAGCGCAGGAAAACCTCATTTTTCAATTTTTGCCACCGTGCTCAAGAGTGCACAGGCCAGGCCAGGGTAACCAGGCCCAGGAGTTCATGTGGGCCAGACAGTGAGTCAGTGTGTGAGCCATGGGTGATAAGGGAAGGGGGGCACTGCCGGAGGAGGGAGAGGGCTGACCCCTCTGGGTTGGGCAGGAAAGGGCTGAACTTCCTTCCCTGATATGAGACACTCCAGCATGCCAGCTGGGCTGGGACAGAGGCAGAGAGAAGCAACACTACTAATGCAGAGAAAGACCGAGGGCCACCTTCAAGGAATCAGTGTCTGGGTGTCTACCTTCACTCCCTTAATTGTTCACAAATGGCTCCACATGTCAATAGCAACATTTTTTGCACAAAAGGCATTAGGCCAGCATTGCCCACGCTAAACAATGCATCAGGAGCCATGCTTGACACTCCCTTGGAAATAGTTGTTTTATAATACACCCTTCCTGGAAGCTTCCAGAAGAGCCCCCATGCTGCACCTGAGAGATCTGACTGCTCAAGCTCCCCTTTCTCCATCCCCCTTCCTAAGATCGGCTGACTCAGCCCCCTCCTGGTGGGATGTGCCCTGCACCTCTACATTCTTTTCTGGATTCTTCCCGTAACTCCAACCTGATGGACATTTAGTGAAAGTTTGTATGGTGCCCAGTAACAGAGTTAAAAACAAATGGCGTTGTTTTTGCTCTCTGTAGTAACAGTGCATCTTATTCCAGTAACCTTCATCTAGTATCTGCTCTTCAACCTGCAGGAAAGTGTCCCCATGGGAAGGGTTTCGAGGTTTGCCAACTGTTAGAATGAAACAACTTTCTTTCCACAGTTGCAGAAGTCTGCAAACACGTGAGCTCACTGCACACAGGGTGAGCTCTCCTATTAGTGGGGAGACATTCTTGCCTTGACACTGACCCCGAATGCTTGGGCTGATGTCATTCCAACAGCCCTGGCTCCAGACTTAACCCTGAGGTCATCTGGGGGCTACCTGAGCTGGAGCTACACATGGAATCCCCATACGTGGCACCTGGATGTCCCTAGGGAAGGCTCACTGATCCCTGTGGGTGTGTGACCCCAACAAGAGCTTGTCTGTTTCAGTCAGGAACTCACACACTTAATGATTCACACAAAGACTTTGGGGGTGCGGGGAGGGCAGGGATTGGGGGAGGCAGGTGATGCCATATCTAAGAATTTCTGACTGCAGTCTTGACTGATAACTCATTTCAAAGTTGAGTTCAGAACTATTTTATTTTTTTCTGTTATTTGATGTCCAAACATTAGCCAAATACAGAAGCCTCTCTTGAAACACATCACAAGGTAGTCCAAACTTTAGTCTAAGTTCAACCCAGATGAACAGCAACACTTCAAGCCTGCTAGGATTCCCTTTGCCTTGGTTACCAAGTTGTGCAAGTATTTTCATATTTGTCATGTCATTTGCATTAGCATGGATAACATGATTATTGATGATATCTAGAATGTAAATAGTTAATGGGTAAGATGGTAGGTTTGGAAGCACAACAGTGCCAAGTTTGCTTCCCTAGTCCATAGCTCTTGCTCTTAAGACTAAAGATCAGTTTCCAGACCTGTAGGAACAATGATATCTACTTGTCAAATTGATGTGAACTGTTTACAAACGGATCCACTTAGGGCCTGGCACGATGGCACGGCAGCTAAATCCTCACCTTGTATGTGATATGGACGCTGGTTTGTGTCCTAGCTGCTCCACTTCCCATCCAACTCCCTGCTTGTGGCCTGGGAAAGCAGTCAAGGACAGCCCAAGGATGGGCCGGCACCTATGTGGGAGACCAGGAAGAAGCTCCTGGTTCCTAGATTCAGATCAGCTTAGCTCTGGGCCTTGCAGCCACTTTGGCAGTGAACCAGGGGATGGGAGATCTTTCTCTCTGTCTCTCCTTCTCTCTGTAAATCTGCCTTTCCAGTAAAAAGAAATAAATCTTGAAAACAACAAATGGATCCACTTAGCACTGTGCCTAAGCCATGGTGTCTTCCCCATTCTTGTTAAGACTGTGGCAGCATTGCTGAGTCACTGCATGCTGTGCCTTTCACAAGTTCCTATTTGTGGGTATTTGAAGACTCTCTAAAACTTTACTTCGTAATTCTTTGGGAGCAGGCAGGAAAAACAGAGTGATTAGCACAATTATCCTGGCCCAACCCTGTATAATAAGTAGATGTATGGCCAAAATATTGGGTTGAATCAATTTGCCTGTATAATTTGGGGATGACTGTACTGAGTAAGGTCACATACACTCACGAAGCTTGCAGGAACCCAGTGGATGCAGAACAGTCCTGGAACTCAGCCGTTGCAAACAAAGATCTCAAGCAAAACTGCTGGAGCTGAGGCGATGGTGCACTGCCTGGGGGAGCAGAATTTCTCAGGCAGAGGACCTCCCCGGCCCTGGCTTCATCCCAGCATAGTACGCCTTGATGAAAGCACATTCAAGGACTCTGACTTTGAAATACACAGTGATTTCACAAGGCACTGGCTGAGCATGGGACTTGGGTGGGGAAGCCTTCCTGGCAGGCTTTTCCATCTCAACAATAAACACCTATGAACCCCTCTGAGGGCACGGAGAGCTCTGGCTCCCGCTACCCTTCTGCTATAGAAGGAAAGAGCCTCCACCCATGTGGATGGATTGTACTGCGTGGTCTCCTGACCCATGCGGCTAGAAATGGCTCAGTAGACAATCCTTTTGCGAATGTCTCTCTTGTTCAATTATTATATAAAGAGAGAGAACTTCCCAATTGATAACTCAGCTAGAAACACATCCTTGGGGTGTGTTGGAATGTTCTGAAAAGTACAGGAGTTTACCCCCTCCTGGGACCAAGGGGTTCCCTAAAGTTGCCCTCATTCCTGCTGTTCACTGCATGACTGTCCTAATTGCCATGTTCAAAACCTTATTTTGGCAATTCTGGCAAGTCAAATGAAATTAAAAAAAAAAAAAGGCTGCCATTGGCTGAGATTCCCTTCAGAAAAAGATGGCAGCTCTGATAAGAAGTAGTCTACCTGACCAAAGCGTGACACAGTTCCCAGCACGCCCACGCATGTGTACACCTAAGCATCTGCCTCACTGTGTAGGGGGCACCCACGTTGGCACCACCAAAGCATGGAGCCAGGCTTCCCAGCTTGGCCAGCCATCAGTCGGTTTCCCTCCTCACCCCATCTCCTCTCTTCAGCCCGCTGCGCTTGTTCACTGTCTGACACAGTCTCCTGCAAAGGGACTCATTCCTGAGACGCTGAGCGCAGAGAGAAGGGCTTTACTTGGCAGCTTTAGGTTTACAAGATCGCTGGTGAACAATCAGTCTGTCTGGCAGGAAGGTACGCCCACAAACATTGCAGGGGACCAGCTGGCTCTGGGCACTTGTCCAAGCGGCTTCGTTTAAGGCATCGAGATCATAGAAACCTTTGGCTGAGAGAGAGGGGGAGAGAGACAGAAAAGAAGAAACACAAAGCAATGAATTAGAAAAAGAGAAGGCAAAGAAAAAGGTGAAGTGAATCAATTTTCATTCTGGAAAACCACATTCTACTTTGCATGGAAAATATTTTCAGGAAATACCTGTTGACTAAGGCCTTTAAGCAAATCATATTACTTGCGGAAGAAAAAAAAAAGGAAAGTACTGCTCGAACTTTCAAGGGTTGAGTCAAGTTAGCTCTGAGCCAGGGGCCCTCAGCTGCTTGGGGTTAGAAAAGAGGAGACCAGTTTACAAATTCTGATATGCAGATAAGCATTCTTGGCTAATTATGAGCATCTTTGCTTGCACATCATTACGTTGCACTGGCCTTCTTTCAGTTGACTCTCAATATAAGCTTACAAAGAGAAAAGGACATGTATTTGTTTTTTCCTTTCCTATCCTCCAGTGGAATGTCTGCCAGGGGAGAGTGAATTTAAGAGGAATTGCATGCTAAGAATTTATCATCTCTTCACGGCTATAAACTCCGAGATTATTTAAGTAATTAAAGTAAAGAAAGCATGTAGAATAGTTAATCTGGCAAAAAAAAAAAAGAAGCATCCTTAAGAAAACAATGAAGACAGCTGAGAAATGTCTAATCTTTACTGACACGGCATGAGGGAAAAAGGCATTTGGCTTTATTTTACAGAAACAATGTGGGATTTAGCTGCAATAAGCCATACTGAAACAGAAAGACTGGTATGTTAAATTGACTATGGCTCAGAATCATCCAGTCATTCAAAATAGGCTTTTCATGTATAGCCAGCCATTAAACAGTATTGCTATGCAAGCAGATGAACATTAGCTTGAGTGTTTTTAGCCTGTTGAGAAAGGAATAGCACTGACGGTTTCCTGACTCTAATGGGTTCTTACCCAAATTTGAAAATTCTAGAGTCACCCTGGAGTCTCAGCTGAAGGCTGCAATGTTTGGACACCTGAGTTTGACATCAGGTCTGGCAGCGAGGTTGCCCACAAGACTATCTCCTGCAGTGACTCCCTAAGATGGGCAGAGTAAAGTGAGTCCTCTCTACCCGGAGCATGGGATGGGACCAGAAGAAAAACCTCAGGGATGCACGATTATAGAACCAGCAAGGGGTGGCAGAGCCCTGGTGCTGCCGGGGAGTCCCCAGCTGCCATGCCCTCACCTCTTCAGCCTGTGATAATGATGGTTGAGCAACCTGAAGGGAAGGAAGCAGATCTGGACACCAAATGAGGATTTCTAGCAAAGGTCTTCCAGCGAAGTAAACACTGTGACTTTTTGCAGAACATGACACCCATGCTTACATAAGGAGGAGGAATGGCTGCAAAGACACTCCCGGGAAGCCCAGGTGTTGTTTCTGTGAGGATTCAGGGGATCAACCAAGAACGTGCAAGGAGGGTCAGGAAGGCTGAGCTTGCCTGGCTCATCCTCACAGCCCAGATGAAAGCATCAGGCTCTGTGGGGAAGCCTCCCATGGTTGCCTGGGTCCTTCTGCATGTGGATTGCACTAGGCTTTATAAGTTAATAGCAGCAAAACCTTTAAAAAGTCTGAATGATTCATAGAGATGTCCAGATTTCTGGTTGTTTCTCTATTATACAAAGAGATGACCACACTGGAGTGAAAGTCTTCAGGATGACACCCACTGAAATGGGGCAGCTGCTGTCTCCTTAAGGATAGCCAGTGCTGCCCCTCTTCTAGCCCCCACCCTCCCACGATGTTACACGTGGGTCAGTTTAGGTAGCTTTGTAACAGGACCAGAGGACCTGGCTTTGGTGCCCCTCTGCACCACGAACAGTCAAATACATTCCTGGCTAAAACCATGACTGTTGATGTCTCCAGGGGTATTTCAAGCTTCAAGCTCAAGGTCCGTGTTCAAGCATGGCTTAATAACCTTTGGTGGCAACTTTGGGGAAGAACAGTAAAGTCCAGCAACTCTGTGTCATGCACGGGGACCCTAAAACGACACTTTGGACGGACATTCCAGAACTATCTGTCCCACTCAACTGTAGCCAAGACAATAAATGTTTCTCTTTGAGGTTTTTTGAACAAGTAAGAAAAGAACATCTTTACTCTCACATGTTTGCACAAAAGGATTTCCCATTGGCATATTTCTTTCTAGAACTTACCAGTAATGGCCCTGACTTCCGGCTTTTTAGGTTCTGATCTCCTTAGCTCTTTAGGCAACAAGTTGTTCTCATTGTGCCACTTTTTCAGACATTGTGGCTCGTGGATGGCAATCGACTTTGTTCCATATTCACGACCGCAGATGTAACAAACGACAGTTGGTGGACGCCTTATCATTGTTGGCTGCAAGACGATTAGATTACATTTATACACTCTATTTACAAATCCAAATCTCACTGACAAATCTATATGACTTTGGACAAATTCCCACAGATCTGTGAATCTAACCCCTTTGGCTCCGCTGAGACCAGGTGTGAATGATTGGGCTGGAGGCAACGACGTGGGTTTGGGAGACGATGAAGAAGCTATCACTAGAATTGTGCATATTGGTACTGTGGCAAGATGCGTTTTCTCACTTCATAAATATCGATTGGCTGTCTTCTGACTATTGTGTGTGTGTTACCCGGCTGGGAGTGTACGAAGATAAATCAGGCAAGAATCTTGCTCTCAACAATGTCCGCCTCAGCACGCTCATATGTCTGAGAAATAAAGCAGGAAGTGTCACTGCAGTTTCCAACAGGCGACAGGATGCCCACCCACATTTTCTCATGTCAACACTGTTTACCTGCAGCTTCTGTACCTCTGTGCCGCACAGGCAGGGCACCTAATTGATCACAGATGAGAGACAGCGGGAAAATTCCTGCTTCCTCATCAAGACTGACACGCACAGCACTTCCAAAACCCCGTGGAATCGCACCCCGGTTGCTACTTAGGCAACATATAGGCTTTATTCTTTTTTGGATGTCTCTTCCCATTCCTCTTTTTGGAATAGCCCAGGGTTACCTCTCAGACTATTTAAACTCAAATCCTTCTCCTAGTTTCCAGTTTTCCATGGGAAGTGAATCCAAGGGCGAGTTGAAGATAAAAATGCAGTATGGAATTATTGTCTTCATTGTAGATACGTAAAAGTGTTAGTATGCTTCCAACTAAACAGCAAGCGCCCATGGGCTGCCCTACAGAATCATAACCTTCCAGCCATTTAGAGGCTCAGAGTTGAAGGAAAATTAGTGAACTAAAAGGACTGTCTAAATTTGAGAACAAATCAACAACACCAAACAGCAGAGCTCCGCTATGCCAATGTTATGTTGAGTACAAGGCCATAGTCGTTTGACAGAGAGCAAAGGGCAGGGCAGCTAGGTAGGGACCCTTCTAGGGTGCAGATAGTCTCTGAGGGTCTGTGTGCAGTTTTCCACTCACCCAGAGACAGCAGCTGACAATATAACCCTGGGGAGAGGAAGGTGCAAGGAAATTTATTCAGGCCTGCTTGCATGGAAAGGCAGAGCTGGAGAATTAGGCCTTGCAGTGAGGATCAGGCAAGAGGGGTCAAATGCTAAAGCAGGGATGAGAAGACTTTCTCTGTGTTGCCAGCCTGTAGGATTTCAGGACTTCAATAATGCAACAAGAGAACTGAGGGGAACCCTAGGATCCAGGTCTTATGTTAATCATAAGGAAGGAGCAGATTGCCACCGAACAGTTCCAAACCTATCATGTGTTGAACATAACCAAAGCCAAGGCGGAGTCCAAAGTAAGATACAGATGGCATCGCTTTCACTTCTAAGCTCTGCACAGTAGATACAACATGCTTGTTTGCGTGCATATGCAAAAGTCACCTCCGAATCTACTATTCTGTTACACACAATGCCCAACACGCAATCAAAATTATATGAATGTGAATCACATTCACACATATGCACATAACACTAAATATAATCAGACTAAGACATGACCTCAATATTTGTACTCCTAGAGCCTACATTATCTACTTTAAAATAACTGCTTTAGTAAGTAATTGAAATTCATTATTTACAAATAATTGTATAAAATTTATTAAAGGATGAAGAAGAAAACATAGATGTTTGTATGGTTAGATGGAAAATTCTGGTTGAGATATAAAAAGTGAAGCTGGAAATTTATTTTTTAAAAGATGGGAAATTCTAAGATTTAAAACATGGTATTGGAGAGAAGCTATCAATATAACATGATTTTCAGCTTAAACTCACATAAAAAAAAAAAAAAAACTTGAGGTATGTCAGGAGAAATTACCCCAAGTGTTACACAGAATGAAAAAAGGTCAAGGGGGCTGGGCATGGACAAAGGCCTGACATTTAAGTAACTGGAACAAAAGGAAAAGGATGAAGAAAGGGGACAATAAACAGAAAAAATAAATGATGGCAGAGAATCCTCTGAAGTAACGAGACAATACAGAGAAACCGAAGAAGGACAGACATAAGATATCTCAAAGGACAAACATAATCACGTCACACAGAAACCGCTAAAAGCCAAGGACAACTTTGCAAACAGAGAAAACAGAACCGGTGCATGCAGCCAGACAATGGAACAATTTCACAGTTTCTTGTCAAGCAAAGAAATGCAGGCCAGGAGATAATGGCTGACATTTCTCATACATTGGAAGACAGGACAAAAGAGTGCAGAAGTCTGTATTCAGTAAAACTATCGCACAAAAAAGAAAACGAAATAGAGATGTTTCTGGCTAGACAAAAGGTAAAAGAATTTATTCCTGACAGATGTGTTCTATAAAAATGCAAGAAGTTGCAGAAAGGAAAATATCACCTACAAACCTGTTTCTACAGAAAGGAACGCGACTATCATAAAAAATTTAAAGTGGCCAACACATCAAAATTCACTTTCAAAGAGCAGTCTTAATTTTTACACACCAACAGGTTGTCCAAGAATCTTTGTATTTTGTGGAAAATTTTTTTGAGAAATTGAATAATTTGAGTTAAAGGTGCATGTTTGAGCGTGGGCTTAGATGCCTGTGGGATGGCTTTCTCCCATATCAGAGTGCTTCGGTTCAAACACCAGCTCTCTGTGAGTCAACTTCCTGCTTATGTTCCGCCTTGGAAGCAGCACTTTATGACTCAAACACGTGGGGGTCCCTGACACCCACGTGGGAGGTTTGGATGAAGTTCTGGATATAGCCACAACAGCCATTCAGGGAGTGAATCAGTATATGGAAGCCTCTCTCTGTCTTTATATTTCTCTGCCTTTCCAATAAATACATTTTCAAGACTTCAATAAGTAAATTTTTAAAACTTAAAAACACATCCATAACTAAAGCTATGTATACTTTGATCTACGTAGAAACTACTAAAGCACAAAAAATACAATTAAAAATGAATGTGGAAGATAGAATAATAATAAAAGTTTTGATGATCTACCCAAGCCCTGAAGAAAAGTGAGAAAGAAGAAACAGGTGTAAGAAAGGAGAAAGAAATGGTAAAAGGTGGTAGTGGTGGTAGAATAACAGAATTAGAACACCCACTTGGTAGACTTCATCCAAACACAGCAATAACTGCTGTAAATATAAATAGATGATAGCACACAGCTAAAGTCATAGACTACTAGACTAGATTAAAAAAGAATCAACTATATGTTGCTTACAAGCAGCACATAGTAAGAACATTAAGACACAATGAGGTTGCAAGTAAAATGATGGAAAAAAGTAGTTCATGAAAACCCTAAACAAAAGAAAGCTGGTGTGGCTTTGTTAATACACATGAACTGCCATTCACGGATTGAAGAAATTGCTTCCTGTCTTGAGGATCGGAGAATGCTTCAAGCAGACAGGACTTGGAGAATGGGTAGAATTCAGACCACAACACCCTCTTAGAAAGTAGCAAGGCCAAAAATCAAGCAAAGAAAGAGAACAGCTGATTATTCAGCTTGCCTGGAGCTCAGGGCAGCACTGAAAACCGGCCCTACTAAGATCTAGATTCTGTTTTGTAGGTCACAGGAAGCTATGTCAACTCAGCTCTTTGTTACTATAACAAAAAACCCGAGGCCGGCTAACTTTTATAAAAAGCAGATGTTTAATTTGGCTCAAAGTCCTGCATGTGCACAACTCAAGATGAAGTGGAGCTGCCGCTTGATCTTGGTGGTGGCTTTGCTGCTGGTGGAGTCTCTGGTTGGCACAGAACACCGTGTACAACAAGAGACGGGGAGTGTGTGTATCTGTCCCATGTCTCAAAGCTTATAAAGCCACTGGAATTTAAGCATGGGCTCCACCCCCAATTACCTTATTCAGTCTGATGCTTCCCAAAGGTGCTATGTCCAAACAACTGGGTTATTTTTACCCTCCATACAAATACATGAGACTGTGGGGACTGAACTATGTGAATTACAAGGACAAGTCCTATTTAAACAACAGTAGAAGCTGCTAAGCAGGGAAAAAACTAATCAAACTCCTAGAAAGTTACTCTGGTGGCACAGGGCTAGCAGAGGAGAGCCTGTGAGGATACTTCAGTGAAAATGGAGTCATAAAACACGTTGATGTCCCCAAATTCAAATCCATGTGCTATGTGGGAGGGATCTTCAGAAATTCATGGAAAAAGGCATATTCTAAAACACACACACACACACACACACACACACACACACACACAACTGCATATGGATTTCAAAACTTTTTGTACCAAAATAAAGGTATTTTGCAATTCCATTGCCCATGAACCCTTACAAGTAGCCTGGCATGTTTGAGAGCTTGAAAATCTGTGGCTCTGGAGTAAGGAAATCTTGGGTCTAACGATTCCTGAAGGGAAAACATGACCATGAGGACATGTGAAACAAGGATACCAGCCAATGTCCGTTACAGTAGCAAGAAAACAGAGAGGTTCAAGCCTGCAGTTGAACAAACAGGGGACAGAGAGGAAAGATTTTCATCCTGGAAACTGAACAGGCTTCCAGACAGAACGGATCGCCGAAGGGTACAGAGAAAAGGCCCCCAGATTCAGTTACCAGGGACTTTTGTGAGTGTAGTAGCTTCAGCGGGCTCAGACGGTAAAAACGGAATTGCTAGTACTTGAAAACAAAATCAAGAAAAGGAGGAAAACACATTGAAAAAGCTTACTGAAAAATAAACAATGTTGAAGAAATATTTGATTGGTTGTGATTTGCAAGATAGGGATGGATCTTAAGCAGAGGTGGGAGACAGGAAGACCAGCAGAAAGAGGCCACATTGAGGCCAGGAAGAGATGGGATGAGGGGCACCGTTGAGAGGTGAGCCTTGCAGGAAGGAATCAGAGGGGACTAGATGACGTTGGAGGAGGGTGGTTGCAGGGACGGGAAGAAGGGGAGAATATCGCATGAATGGATGTGGTGTCCTG